CCTAATACGTCGCCAATAACGAAGTCACGATTTGACGCTATATTCAGTCTCAGTTGTCTATGAGGAGTTTTTAAATGGTTTTTGGTTAAGAGTGCTTATGTCAATTTCATGTTTGACAGACAATCCTGGTGAAGTCAGTTTCATGGCTACGGCTCTAGCGCCATTTGCGTCTACGAAAGAGACTACCAACTATGCAAGGCTATGCCGCCTCCTGGTTGATGTTGGATCCCAAGTGCTGCGGTCCACTTTTGATAATATACATCCACCAGCGACTCTACAGACAGTTTTGGGAAGTACATCTGTGCATCACGCCACATTACAATCACTGTATAGAGGGAGGAACAAAGTGCTCAATCCCACGCAATGGGGGAAGCTGTATCCTACTCACTCACCCGTGTCCTCTGCAACCTTCGACATCACACTTCTAACGGTGCTGCTTAGAAACATCTGTGGTTTGAGCCCTCCTGCCACAGGATGGGATCGCCTTCCCCCAGCTGCAAACATAAGCATCGCAGATGACATCGTCAGAGTGCGGTTTTACAGAAACACCGTATACGGCCATGCCTCTCAAGCTTCTGTGGATGACTTAAACTTCGGTTCTTATTGGCAGGAAATACGAGAAGCATTGGTGAGACTGGGAGGAGCTCACTTTCGAGAAGATATCGACAATCTTGAGTACGACTGCATGGATCCGGATATCGAAGAGCATTATCGTGAGCTGATGAAACAGTGGAAGAAAGACGACGAAAATATCAAAGCCAAACTTGAAGAAATTGAAGGTAAGAAAAATGTTTTCTGGTGCCCTATGGATGAAACAAAAGGTTACAGAAAAATGTACTTTCAGTTTACACGGCAGGGTTAAGGCTAGCTCCGCGTATATTCATTCGGTTTAATCATGTAAGCTGGACGTTTAATTTATTATTAGCATGGAATAGTAGCACATAGTGCCATAGTAGATAAACCCAAAAAATGCACCTCAATTTCACTGTTGGCCATTTTGTGTGACTCCAGTGTCTCTGACCTTTGATAACTGAACCTTTTTAAGAACGATCCTACCCAATCTGTAGTTTGCATGTGTATACTTGTAATGTGTAGTTTGCATCTGTATGTTTGCATCCTACTCAATCATGTAGTTTGCACCTTTTTAAGAACGGTCCAACTCAATCTGTAGTTGATGTGGGCTATCAGGCACGGAACGTGACATATAACCTTTATTTGTTATTATTATTGCAGAAAAAACGTCTAGATGCCCAGATATCCCAAACAAGGATTGGGCGGCAAGCCGTAACCAATCAATGCAACGACCAAAGTCCTTACAATTAAAATTCCTATAGTAATTCCTAATCATGAAACCCTAATAATGAAAGTCCTAAACTTAATTGCTATGTGGTAAAAACCTCAATCAAATTACTAAAGGTTCCATACGTCGCTATCGAAACGCTTAAATGCAAAACATTTAATCCCTTATTTCAATCTTGAAGCGCCTCGCCATATTGAGTGAACTATGGCAATTCCTAATCGTAAAAGCCTTAGTCCTAAACGTGATTACTATTTAGTAAAATTCTCAATCTAAATACTAAAAGTTATGTAACATCGCTATGATTACGCTTAAATGTGTTAAAACATCTAATATCCCTTATCTCAAAATCTTAAAGTGCCTCGAAATATTGAGTGAACTTGTGATGACTGACTTCTGTATCTGCACAGCTGTTGTGTCGCTCTCATCTCCCACTAGCTCTTTAAGCGCCTTTCTAACATTTCTTGAATAACCTCTGAGTATATCAACAATAATGATATATTGTGTCACCCGATAATGAGGGTATCTCTGTTCAAGCTCCCAGCGTAGTGGCCCACACTTTGCTGCTTTTTCGGCAGCTTTCTCCTCCCTGTAATAATAATTGCGCCATAATAACTGATGTGATGTGATGTGATGGTGATAATGATGATGATTATTATTATTATTATTGATACTTGGCGAAATTATCTGAAATTAAAGTTGAATTTGATCTATTTGGAATCGACAAGTTATCGATATACATATCATTGATTTATCTAAACCTAACTGAATCTGTGATGTAAATGTGCTCATGAAATTGTATACCTTGCATACATTTTCAGATTCACTGGGAAAGATGAGACACCACCTCAAAGACACAACTGAGAAGATACAGATTGAAATGAAAGAGATGAAGGAAAAACTTGGTAGCTTGATAACAACAGCGGAAAAAAGGACAGATGAAGGTTGGTTGCTAGAAAGAGCTACACACAGAGAAACTGAATTAAGAACATCGATACCGTTCACAATGTGAATAAATTATTTACTGGATGTCGGCCAATGTAGTATATTTTGGTAATGTATTGTTGGTAATATGGTGATGTGAGACCA